CAAGTGGGGTGATATTTAGTGCACTTCGTAAAGCCCCAGCTCATGAGTCACGTGGTCAGCTTGCATTTAAAAAGAAAAGTAACTTTCTAGCCCCACTGGTTTTTGAGGAAAGCTTGAAAACATGGCCAGAGAGTGACTTAAAAGAGCAACAACCAGGAACAAAAAGAACCCCAGATTTATTAGTATTAAAAAACCCTCTCATGATTTTTAAGCCAATCTCGAGATTTTGGGGGCCTGATTCATGGTTTTTCATTGCTTGGGGCTGACGATGCTGTATAAAGACATGTCATCGGGCAGCAGCTGCAGTTGCAATTACTTGGCTACTGAACCCAAGATGGAACGAGTGGACTGGGTGTAGCTTTTGACTTGGGAGCCCCTCGCTGTGCTGGGATTTGTGTGTATTGTTTTGAGCCAGTGAAAGTCCTTGTAGTTCATCCCAGGGGCGGACTTGTCTGAATGGAATTCCTGGGAGCAGTGATGGGGTGGGAGCATTTTAATAGGAGCCTTTTTGAAACAGCAAGGTGACCAGTGAGGCAGCATTATTAAGAGACCGGAGCACTGCCCGGCCAGGGGACTATGGAGGAGTCCATGACTGTGTGGTTGGGCACAGCCCTCTCCAGTGGGGAAGGCAGCATGCCCCTGCGTACAGAATGGTCAGGGGCAGATCTGGAATCTAAACACGAGTTTCTTGGTGGGGTTGGAGGTTTGCATTGCTCTGTCAAACCCAGGAAACTGGCTTGAAGCCATCAGTGAACTGGCTTTCCCCTCTACCCCTTCCCGTCCCCACAACCTTTTGCCATAGGTCACCTGAAGCCAAATTCTGCTGTGTCTTCCCCAGTGCGACTTTCATCTCAAGCTGCTCCGTCTCCTCGTGTCCCGAGTTCGGCAGGGGAAGTACTGAGATGGTAATTCTTTCTTATTCTTGCTTTGCAGCCCCAGCTACAGGATGGGCTGCTGCCGACCAAGGGCCACAGCTGGGGATACAGTCCAGCATTTTCAGAAGTGGCCCCAGTTTTTGGATGCTGCAGTTTCTGGGTGCCTGACGTGAGACCCCTTGGGCTGGATTCCCCGTTGGGCAGTCATGCCACCAGTGCTCAGTGCCGCCATTCTGCTCTGGGGGTGTTTCACGAGATTAAATGGTGCACAAGCTGCAGGGCAGAGGAGAATCAGACCTCCGGGGTGCTGGGCACCCTGATCTCCAAACGAAATCCATGGGAGCGCCTGGAGAGCCGCAGCAGCCCGAGGTGTCTCGTGTGGGAGACTTAGACACTGGGGCACCTCTAGTGCTGGGCTCCCTCTGCAGCTCAGGTACCGATTGCTGTCCAGCACACACCCTGCTGCGGTTCATGGCTATAAGGGAGGCGCAGCATTGCAGGCCCTTGCAGAGCACTCTGCAGAATGACGGCGCAGGCTGCAGCCCCAAGCCCCACTCCTTTTGGTGCCTTACAGTGTTGCAGGTCCCTATCCCTGCTGCAGCCCACGGCCAGCCCCAGGCACATTTTGGCCTCCTGCCCCTTGTCATCCACCCACTTGCAGTGCTGATGTTTGTGACAGTCTGTTCAACTCGGCTCTCGCGCGGCAATCACACCCGCCACCACTCAGCTCCCTAATCCCATTTTCTCTGCTGCCTCAGTGACCAAGAGCAGATCTATGATGATGTGGAAGCGGTTGGGCCACTTGGCAAAGGGAAAAGACGTCCATTATCACCTGCTTCCCGGCTTCCAGCAAGTCCTCGCTCTGGAACAGGTACGTACCCCAGACTGGAGCAGGGGTTATGGAGTCTGTAGCCAGCACGGCAAATTAAAAGGTGGCCACTGCCCACTAATAGCTATTCAGAGCACAGCTCACGAGGAGCTCACCATCCACTACGAGCATAGTGTGCAGCTCCACTCTGAAAAGTGAGTGTGCAAACCTGACCCCCCCCTCCCCTCGCTCCCTGTGTGCATCAAAGACATTTCTGGTCAACCCAAATCCGGGGAGATGCCGCACACCTCTGGCGCTCAGACAGCTTGAATGTGGCCAAATACCAACTCTGGGATGCCCCTGAGTGGGGGCCCAAATAGGACCTGGCCGAGCTTTTGAGAACTCAAGTCAGAGCAAATAGAAACTGCGTCTTGTGCTTCTGCAGCCTGCTAGCACGGCGTGGGGAAAAGGGGCTGTATTAGCACTGTCAGAGACTGGCACCAAGGTGCCCGCCCCTGTCCACTTCTCCTAGGAATTCAGGCACCAGACAGGTCGTGGTACTGTCCCAGCAGCCACAGGTGCCCATGAGCAGGTGGCTGAAGGGGCTTGAGGCCTTGGGGTGGATGCGGAAGGCAATGACATCTAGGCTCTGTGCTCTCCAGGTGCAGCTGTTATCCTTGGGTACAAGGGAAAGGATTTTGGGTCTAACCCAAGGATAACAGCTGCACCTGGAGAGCACAGCGCCCTCTAGCAGTGAGGTTTGGAAACCTCAGGGGCCGGGGCCTAGCTGAGTCCCGAGTCAGCTTGGACACCCAGTGCTAAGAGCAGATTTTTAAAGCCAAAGCACCATCCACCTCTGCTTTGAAAATTCCCCTTCTTGGTTGAACACCCAAAATCCTCTGCAAAGCACCAAGGTGGCCCTGTGAACCCCTGCGGTGAAGTCTTCGGTCTCCGTTTCCTGCGGGGCAGAGGCTAGGAGAGTGAGTGAATGCACAGTCAGCAGATGACCAACAGTGCTGCGTAGCGGGGTTATAATGTTATTATGGTGACGTGGTGGGATTCTGGGGAAGCGCTGGTTGGAGTGGGGAGGGTTAGAGCCAAAGTGAAGGGGCTGGAGAGACTGATTACTGACCCTTCTTAAAGACTGGCTAAGCAACAGCAAAGGTCTCCAGGTATTTGCAGAGGACAACATCATAGAAGGAAGAATAAAAAAAAATTAATGGAGATATTCTATCTCCTAGAACTGAAAGGTCATCAAGTCCAGCCCCCTGCCTTCACTAGCAGGACCAAGTACTGATTTTGCCTCAGATCCCTAAGTGGCCCCCTTAAGGATTGAGCTCACAACCCTGGGTTTAGCAGGCTAATGCTCAAACCACTGAGCTATCCCATAAGGGTGAAAAAGAAATAGAATATTAGGGTTGGAAGGGACCTCTGGATGTCACCTAGTCCAACCACCTGCTCAAAGCAGGGCTGATACCAGACAGATTTTTGCCCCAGTTCCCTAAACAGCCCCCTCAAAGATTGAACTCCCAGCCCTGGGTTTAGCTGGCCAATGCTTAAACTACTGAGCTATCCCTCCCCCCCAGTGAACCTACTAGGGCATTCAGTGCTCTCCTGCCAGTCCAGGATGCCCCCTGCAAGGGGGAGAGGGACAGGGTAAATGTAAGCTGCACATCAAGAAAGCCTTCCTGACAGCGAGATGGGTCTAGCTGTGGCGTCATCTCCACATAGGAAGCCCCATCGTTTGGCACAGAGAAGCCAGGGTAAAGCCCTGGGGGACAGGCTCACAGGGCTGAATGGGACCCAGCCTCTACCTCCAATGAGCTTGTCTCAGCCGCGACTTTGCCACACCAGCCTCACTGACTTCTCCATGCCCCGTTTGTTTGTGCAGGTGCCAAGCTGATCCCTGACAGATTTCCCCCGCCGCCCGCTGAGCCCAGGTAATCAATGGATTTATTAATTCAGTGCTACCCACATGCCTAAACACTGGCAATCGCCTAGGGCATTTGCGGTGCTTCTGCAAGGGCCACTGTTTTAGCTGAGCCCCGGGGGACTGAGAGCTATAAGCCTGCAGCTATAGCATAAGCCACAGCTGCCTAGCGAGGGCTCCAACAGCGTCCTCTGCTCTGGGCACCGGCAGAGAGGCCCCGTAACAGCCTCAGGCAGCCAGCGGTCAGGTCACATTTCCCAAGTTCTCTCTTTTTCAGGAGACCCAGCGTTTTCCACCCCCGCCCCCCACACCAGCGGAAGGGGTTTTCCTGTCAGGGCAGTTCACCCTCCTCTCCACGAAGCAGTAGTGGGGTTGACAGACACTTGTGTTGATCTAGCTGCGTCTTGAGCTGGGGCTAGGTTGATGCACCCATGTCTCACAGGGTTTGAAATTTTTCACAGCCCTGAGCGATGTCGCTAGGTGGGTCTCATTTTTGGGTGTCGACCAGGCCTAAACTGCACAGCTGTGGAACTGCAGAGTACACATGGCTCTGGGTAGAGATTTCCAGCTGGGCTAAAACAGGACAGAAAACTGAGCTCCTCACTCACGGGATCAACACAAACTTCTCTTACTGGGGCTCTGTGCTAAATGCCCTGTGTGTCCCTAGGGGCGCTGGGCTCAGTCCCTGTCCATACGCCTATGTGTGTGCTGGTGCCGTTCCCCGTCCTCTGGCCAATCTGGGCAGGCAGAAGGGAAGCACTGTTTGGTTGATAAAGGCAACTGCATAGAAGTAACATGATTTTTGCTCGGTAAACTCAGCCATGAATTTGGTAGGACCCTATGTATAACTGTGCATTTGGCTGTATTAAAATTCAACAAACCCAAATGTTTCGGCCCTACCTGAAATGAAATACTTTGTTTTACTTTTTCTGATGGAAAATTAAGAATTCAGCAAAGATTTGAGATTGAGATTTTCCCACTGAAAATTCTGAATGACCAAAAAGCTGCATTTCCCACTATTTGGATGAAAAATTCCTGACCCGCTCTCCCCATAGAATCATAGAATATTAGGGTTGGAAGAGACCTCAGGAGGTATCTAGTCCAACCGCCTGCTCATAGCCCATGGGATTGCTGGCTCAGTCTGGGCCTCAGGGTTCTGGTGGGGCATTGGTTCTCCGAGTCCTCATTATCCAGATGGAAGTGAGAGCCCGGTAGCTCTAATATCAGAAAACAGTCTGTATCATAAAGAAGCCTGATGACTTTGCAGTTCAACTTTGAACAAGAGGCCCCCACCTGGGCGGAGTTAAAGACAGGAATTGAGCCTTCACCTTTGGAATTTCCAGTTGTAGTTTCTTTACCTTCACCCTGCATTAAAGCCAGGGCTTGCTGTGGTTCTTTGCATGGAATATATCTTAGCTTAGAACAGGGATCGGTGCGGAATGATTCTCCAGGCCATCTACGGGCTCGATTCACTATAGCCCTGCCTCTTGCACAGTCATTTACACCAGAGCACGGGAGTGCAAAACAGGCCGGGGATGTTTCACTCTGGCTCTGTGCCGGAGTAAATGCCTGAACACACGGCTGGGCCGACGAACTTCAACACAAAGGCACTGATTCTGCACTCCATTGCGCTAGCGTAAAGCTGACACAGAACCAAGTGGAGAATCCGGCCCAAACAGTTTAACTTCTCGGCTGGTTTGGAATGCAGCCCCAAAGCCCTGGACGGATGGAGACCCTGGGCTGTAGTGGGGCATCCCCAGCAGTGGAAATGGGATGCGGTGTTATTGCCATGGATGACAAGGGAGGATTGGGGGGCGGGGGTGGAAAACATTTGGTCTCCTGAACATTCTGGAAGATCATTGTGACTTTTCCTGGCTCTGCAGAAAATCCCAGATTTCAAAGCTAAGCGGGAAACATGGGAAGAATCTCAAACAGTGCAAGAAAGAAGAGCAGGCGGACAAGGAATTTCGGAAGAAATTCAAGGTGAGCAGCAATGGGCCCTTTTTCAGAGCAATCCCCCCATGAGGTGCAGTCAGTCATTCGTTCCCCTCCTGCAGCCACAGTGAGGATGCTGCCCTCTGGCAGAGGGATTTCATACAAAGCTAGAGAGAGCTCTCCTCTATAAAACAACGCTCAATAGAAACCCAGACCAAAGTCTTCGTTAGCTTAGACTTAACGGTCTTAGGTTCCCCACTACAAGATCTGCCCTAGCTCAAGCAGAAGTGATGGGCTCAGGGAAGAAATAACAGTTCCCAGTGGTGAAACCATCTGCCAGAACACCCCCACCAGCGTGACCTAACACCCCCTGTACTTGCGAGGTCGTGCTCTGCAGAGGACGCCCTTCTGACAACAAAACGGCTCCCCCATGCAGCCAAAGTGCTGGTCTGCCATTCCGGCGTGATCCGGCCCCACTACAGCACAGCCGGTCCCTGGCCAGTGCCAGGCAGGAGGTGAGGGCTGATCTTAGAGATCCGTCCTGGCCTTACAGTCTCTGATGCTATATGAGCACCTCCCAGTCTTTAACATGTGTATCCCCATAACCTCCCCGCCCACGCAGTGCTGCTAGCCTGAGGTTGCCGATGGGGAGCTGAGCACAGAGACTTGCCCAAAGGCCCCCAGGACCTCTGTAGGCCAGCAGGAACTGCAGCGAGGCCTCCTGCCTCTCAAGCTAGTGCCCAAAGCAGTGGGCCATCCTTTCCCTCTGTCAGAGCCATGGCTGATTTGGGTGCTTTTCCTCCACCGCATCCCCTGCAGAGCTTCTTCATCCCCACAGGCGCTCTGCCCCCAGCCTCCTCCCATGCCACATTCTTCAACGTGCCCTCTCACCATGCGACGCTGCTTCCCTCCCATATACACAGTCTGCTTCCTGAGACGTGGCCTACGGTCAACGTGCGAAAGTGGACTGGGATAGTGGGCCGTGGCGTGGGGGAGGAGTTGCTGGGGAATGAGGCTGTGTCAGGGTGCGAGGGGGAGCAGGGCTGTGTGCAGGGGTATGGGGCTGTGGAGAGAGCACAGTAATGGGTGGATATGGGGGAAATGGGCCACGATCTGGGAGGAGGCTGGAAGAAGGGAGATGAAGAGAGAGGGGGGTGAGAGGGAACATGAGAGGGGATGATGGGGGTAAGAGAGGACATGTGTGAGTGGGGTCGTGGGAGGGAACAATGGGTGGAGCGAGGACGTGGGGAGGGGACGACGGGGGGGAGAGGGGACATGAGAGAGGACAACAGGGGGCGAGCGAGAACATGGGAGGGGAAGACGGGGGCAAGTAAGGCCATGGCGATGGGATGACAGGGTGAGTGGAGATGTCTGAGGGGATGACAGGGGCGAGCGGGGACGTAGGAGGGAATGACGGGGGTGAGTGGGGACATAGGAGGGGAAGACAAGTGAACAGGGACACGGAAAGGGATGACATTGGTGAGCGAGGACATGGGCGAGTGGGGACGTGGGAGGGGACAACAGGGGCGAGCAGAGATGTGGGAGGGGACACGGGGGTGAGCGGGGTTGTGGGGAGGGGATGATGGGGGTGAGCGGGGACGTGGGAGGGGACAACAGGGGTGAGCGGGGATGTGGGGAGGGGACAACGGGGGTGAGCGGGA